TTTTTTTTCTAAGTTAATGAAAATAAAAGATAAACTTTCATTTTCTTGTACCTTTAGTGCTGTTCCGCATCAAAAGTATGTTAAATATACGATAAACAACTTCTAACCAGTGAGGGAACAGGCATGTTCCTTTACTGGGCATAGATTTCCCAGTGAATGAACAGTATGTGTTAATATGTTGACACTTTAATTTTCAATTCATGATTACAAAAAAAGTCAACATTTTCCAAGTATTTATATATTATAATTTTAAGAATAGGCTTGTTTTTAAATATTTATATGGCTTATAAATTCATAAAGAGCTATAAAAAATAACCAAAATTAGGTGTTCCTTTACTGGGTGTTCATTCACTAGTAAGAGCTGTTCCTTCTCTTGGTCTTCTTACTACTTGTTATTCGAGCCTCCAAAACTTTGAAACAATATTATGTAAGTTCTCCACAATTTTTTTACATAATTAGCAAATAGTCATAAATATGTTGACACTGTCATTTAATTAAAATTGCGAATTTTGAAATTAATTTGATTTTTTGAAAGGCAAGCGAAGCTTAAGTGTTCATTCACTGGCTAGTTTACCCTACTCCCGTTTTCAATGTTAAAACGTGCGGCGGCATACCTGCAAATCAAGTGAATTCAGAAATTCAGTTGGGTAGTTTACAACCTCGATTTGATCTATTACAGTATCGATAGATTTATATGTTCTTGCATAACCTGGAATTTCTTTTAGAATGTGATTATTGATGTCATGTACATCGCTATTTTTTTCTGCTAATATAGCACGTTCACTGAGCCATTGAAGATTTTTGTAATTTTGAGCGATATTGGGAAAAACGTTGTGAAAAAGTTCATCTATGGTTGAAATAATTTTACCGAAGTCAGTTGGCAGTGTAATACTTTGGGTGGATTTATCTATTGCCGTCATTCCATTACCAATATCCAACAATTGCTTTGCAAAGCATTCGGCTGATGCATCACAGGGCTAAAGAGAATAGAAGGGTTAGTTCACTCCTTTGAAGAAACTCTTGCCGCTCCAAACCTCCGATTTTCACCTGTGACGTCACGGTGGCGCAAAGCTTGAGCTTTTACTTCAAGAACAAAGCGTTCGGTCTAACTAGCTTTAACTAATATTGGAGCATTCCTTTTTGTGACATATTCTAAGACATTCTTTGTTTCCTATAATGATTTTTCTCAGTTTTGTGAAGTGAATTTGCAAAAATTTAAAATTGTTAATGAAATGCTAATTTGCGCAATTGAAACTTACAAAAATTCCGATAGAAACACAAAAGGAAATTTTTTTATTTTACAACTATGTAAAGAATGGCTTCAATATTGCAAACGGAATGACCCAGTTAATAGTAAATATGAATGAATATTCAGTAAACATTTCTTAAAACAAGATTATGAAGATGATATGAGAAATCGTTTGCTTGGATTGCCGATTAGAATGATTTTAAAAATGCTCTAACTCTACCAAGTGCTCTCTTATCTAAGGGACGACTAATTGTTCCGTCAGCAGCATGGATGAAAGTGTGTCAGGGACAGAAATCAAAAAGTGTCATCAAAGAATTTATAAGTGAATTAGACGGACGATATCCCACAGTGAACAAAACAACAAGTCGCTTATTTTGCATTTCAGAACTTTTATAAGAATTCGCCATCTAAATTAAAACCGCCCAGTTACTTAAAAAAAAAAACAGACTCAAAAAATAAAAAAAGAAGTAAGTCAAAGAAAATAAAAACTTTTATGAAAAGTATAGATAATTAATAGTTAAAATTCTCCTAGTTTCATAGCGTAGTTTTTAAAATGTAGTTATTCTAAATACTAATTTTTTTAAATTGTAATATAATTCTTTAAATTCTAATATTATTCTTTTAAATTTAAATATCTATAAACAATTGTAAAATTTCTAATATTTTTATGCACCTAAATTATTATTTTGTTAGAATAATTAGCATTTAAGGTTGTTGTTTTCCAATGATTAAATGTAAACAAATTGCCATTTACAGCATATTTTAAAATCAAGATTCTAAATTTAACCTAACTTTGCAAATTGTTGTTATCAAACAATATATAGCTAAAAAAGTGTTGATATATGCATTAAATATTTTTTAATAATAAAAGTTAAAACTGAAAATTTGGAAATAAAGTATTTATAGTGTCATTTACGACAACTAGTAAAATATTTTTATTAGTTTAAAATGGTATTTGATTAATATTTTGACCAAGAAAATTTTTTAAACCTATGTTTTTGAAGGGAAATAATATGTTAATTGCGTAAAGTTTGGAAGCTAATATCAAGAAAAGGTCGAACTTATTTTTACAGAGAGAATGATACTAAGTTTTCATAATATCTTTGCTTGCTATCTCCGCGATGTGTGTGCAGCGTGACGTCATGAAGAGGGAAATCTTATATTCAGCTCTAAGAGCGGAATTAGAGCCTCTGAATTAGACAGGCCGACTTATCATTTATTGTTGGAGCAAAGAGCTAACATAAGCACAGCGAATAAATATTTTCAAGTGGTAGTTTATTAATTGTAATTCTTGGTTTCATAAGTTCGATTTAGTAGATTTTAATCCCCCACTATTTCTTAACAATGCGTAGGCTTATATAATTCACCACTTTATAGTACTTATCACATGCTTTACATTTTTAAAAGCAAGCAAATATTGTCAACTATTTGCAAAATTTACTTTGTAGTTATTTACCGTTTTTTAAATTATTTTGGCGTTTCCGTAGCAGTTGGCATCTCTGTAATAACATAACGAATAGTAAAATAACGTTAACATGCGAACTTGTTTGCTCCAATATTGCTTGATAGGTCAGCTCTGATAGTAAAGGAGCCTTAAGCGGAATGAACTAGCGCTTCTGTTCTCTTTAGCCCTGGATGCATCATAGTGTAGTTGAACACGCATGTCGCTCTTTAAGTGTAATTTTCGTACATGTTGCCACAACGTTGATGATTTGAGACATGCATGAAGTCCATCAATAGAAGTTGCATGTGGAATTACTGGTAGAGTTTTCCGGAAATCACCAGACAATAAAATTAGTGCGCCGCCGAAAAGTTGCTTTTTTTTCTCTCAAATCTCTTAGTGTATGATGAAGAGCTTCTAATGCCTTTCTGTGCGCCATACCGCATTCATCCCAAATTATAAGTTGGCATGATTGTAGTATTTTTCCCATTATAGATTTTTTTTTTGATATTGCATGTGGGTGTTTCAGTGAATTGCATATTTGAAGGTAATTTAAGTGCTGTTTGGCCACCATCCAAAAGAGTTGCCGCAACTCCAGAGGATGCCAAAGCCAATGCAGTTTTGTTTTGTGATCGTATTGTTGCCAGGAAATTAGAAATATTTTACCTGTTCCTCCAGGTGTACTAATAAAAATAATTCATCGCTTCGATTTGTAACAGCTGTCATAATCTTGTCGTACGCTATGCGTTGTTCGATAACCAAAATATTTTTTTTCCAACTCGCTGAGGAAAAGTCAGGGCTATAGGGTGGAAGATGATAATCATTCAATTATTCACAGATGATAATCATTTCAAGAAAGCGACGATTTATATGGATACGATGAGAAAAATAAGTACAGGGCTTTTTCAAAACCATAATGAAGACATGCTGGTCTGGCATGAGTAAGCAGAAATTATACAGTATCTACAAAAATGCATCGACCTAAATATAGATTACGTAGAAAAAATATTAAACTCCTAGACCGATGTAATTTTACAGCTAAAAATGTTAAATTTTTTATTTCAAAAATATAGGGCAAATTACTTTTGGAAGTTTCTTTTGTCAGCAGAATTGACACATGAAAACAATGAACAGAAAACTTATACTCACTAAATAAAAATCTCCACTGCTGTAAATGCCAAGTCTTCTTTAACTTCACAATCCACAGGTACATTCACTTTATTGTCATTTTTAAAATACATCATAACTTAAATGAAATAATTTGACATCATAAACGGTTATGGCGATAGAAGGAAAACAAATATATTTTATTTCTCTATAAATCTATAATATAATATGGTATGTACAATATATAATGATAAACCAATATTTAAAAATTTTATAGTTTTGTATTTTTGCAGAAAAATACCTCGATTTCAGTAATGGTAAGTATGGTGTAAAAATGCCGATGTAAAATTGTCACTTTTGGGAAAAGTTTTGCTGGCCTCATACATCATTGCATATAGCTCAACGCAAGCTTAATGCAAAAAAAATGAAAAAAACCTCCATAACTATGGATTATGTGGTCATATGGCAGATCTCAAATAAGTAACTAAAGATAAAAGAAAATAATAATAGCTGCTTTCTCTAAACTACGTTTGCTTTAAAATTTCAGTTGTTGTTTAGGTGAGTAAAAAGGTGTAAGGATGAGGAAACGCCTTGAAAATTCATTTTTCAGATAAGATTTAAAGCTGGAAACTGTTATTTGATTTAATAGTTGTGATATACGGCATCGGAGGTGAAACGTGCAGCTATTTGGTCTATATTTCTTGTCTTTACTGAAGTTTCAATGCTGAATATTTCAATAATATTGGCTGTACCGAGACAAGAGCAAGAAAGCGGCATTGCATATAATTCTTTGATTTTGTGATAGGTAGCAATGGAAAAATTACTTACAATGAAAAATACTAAATTTGAAATAAAAAATAACCTAAATTTCGCTACTACTAGAAAACATTTTTTTACAAAGCGGAGTCTGAATGAATGAGTATATCTAAAAAATGAATATTCAAAGCGTTTACTCATCCTGACGCATTTTTACTCACCTAAACAACATCTCTGCGTTTAAGTCATATAATTTAAATTATATTTTAAATAGAACAGACAAGTATGTCTATAAACCTATAAGTTCTATAAAAACTTGGTCATTCAGACAAAAATACAACATTTTTAAAGGAATCTCTAGTTTTCCGAACAAAACTAATTTTAGATTTTAAATCCTCACTCCCAAATTGGGTAACAGAAAGTATTTGTTTTAAATGCAACAGAAATAATTTTCCCAGTGTAATTAACTTGCCTTACATGGAGGAAAAATTAGAAACAACAGGTAGTAGCAAATTAAATATTTCTTATTTTCACTACAACTTGGTAACACTTTTCTCCAAAAGCGTATCTGTAGAAATATAAAAATTTTCTGAGAACGGTTTTAAACGGTAAACAGCTACAAACTAAATTTGCATATAACAGACAGATTTTACTAGTTTTTTTAAAAGATTTACCACGAATATCTTTCTTTCTTTATTTCGCAAAAACTGGGCACCTGGTCCGCGCAGCGGCCCCTATCCCATACATCATGAAATATTATATACATAGATTTAAAGACATTTTGATTTTAGCAACAGTATGGTAGCTATTTCTAAAAGTCAAGCGTTTTGCTTGATAAATTAAAACATTTTGTACTACAATCAATTTAAAGATGGTTATTATATACAGGCATGATTTGAAAAACCACGAATATCTGAAACAAGTGGTGAATTATATAAGCCTCCGAATTGATTAGAAATAGTGGTGGATAAAAATCTACTGAATTGAATTTATTAAACCAAGAATCACAATTAATAAACTACCACTTGAAAATATTTATTCGCTGTCCGGAACAAGTTGGCATCCCGGTGTACATAAATAAAACTATTTTTGTGTGTTCTATGTTGCATTAATTTCTTCAAACCATTTTAGTAGCAATAGTATTATAAAAAAAATTAGAAATTTACTCGAATTATGTGTTTCTAACAATCTTGGCTTCGCCGGATACTGGTGGCCCTCGTGGGGCAAAGAACAAACTCAGTGCCGGTGACCCCCATGACATACAACGTGTTTAATAAATATATGCATAGCTGCCAAATTGTTCAGACATTGAGAGAAAATTTTCTTAGTAGAATATAACAGCGTTTTGACGTATTAAAGCCTCTTTAAAATTTCAAAATTTTTTTTTTTATCAACCACAATAAACCAATAATCAAAAATATTTACACATGATCTATTGGTTTAGTTTGTTGGAACGAATTCATGGAGATAGGTTCACTTTCAGAAAAACAAAAATTGATGACATGGATCGAGCTCTTTATGGCGGTCTAAGATATCGGTGTGAGACTGTCTGAATGTGATGTCATAGAGAAGATTGAACGCATGCGGTCGTCAATTTAGATTTTAAAGATATTCTCGGATTTTCATTCGTGTCCTTCGAGTGAGTAGTACCTATTTCATACTCTTGCAATCATGTATGTTTTTCTAATTCTGAATTAACTTAAGAGTATTAGTAGGTGCAAGTTAAGTTAAACGATTCTGCCCGATATTGTAGCTTTCAATTTACGTTAACATCACTGCTGAAGTTAATATTTGCAATCACGCAACAATGGCTACGTATCACCACCACGGACGTGGCGGAAAGCGGCTGACCGAAAGAGCTGCACGTGGTTCAATTACGGATGAGGAATGCTTGGATTTTGAAACCAAAATGGCTAAAGAGTTAGCAGACATGGGAAGGAGAATTAAAGAAGATAAAAGGAAAAATAAAGAACTACTTGAGGAACTGAATAATTTGGAGCAGTCTCTCATGCCTGTGCCAAATAGGCCCGAAATACCGACTACATCAGCGAAAGTTACTGACATGGAAATTCATGAAAGCGGCCAACTTTTGGAACAGACTGGTAATGCGTCGTCCATCGATTCAGGAAACTCATCCAAAAATAACACAGAACCCCCTCCCAAAAAACGAAAAAAGGAAAACAACGTTGAGAAATCTGAAGGAAATTTCTCCAAGACTACAAATAGCAGCCCTCCATCACTACTAGATGTCGCCACTTCCTTACAACTATCTAAAACCAATGTAGATCCTGACTGAGCCAAACCCAAGGAGGATTACAATGCAACTGCAGCTCCACCCACAACTTCAGAAACAGAACTACCAATCAAGCATATTAAAGTTCTAGTCCGTGGACTTCAAGCTGGCACCAATACAGATCATATCTCCCTTGAATTGGCCAAGACAGGCATTAAAACACAAAAAGTTATACAGTTCATGAGAAAAGTGGGCGAGGCCTATAGGCTCCTCCCATTTTTTCTCACAATACTAATCGAAACAGATCAAAATCAACAAATCTTCTCAGTTACCAATATTTGTGACCTTCCGGTGAAAATTGAAAGGTTCCGCGGCGGGAGAAGCCCAATCCAATGCTACAACTGCCAAAATTACGGTCACACGCAGCGAATTTGCAACTCACAACCAAGATGTCTTAAATGTGCCGCAGACCATCGTTCTTTTGAGTGCCACAAGGACATAAATACGCCACCCAAGTGCTGCAACTGAGGAGAGGCACACACTGCCAACTACACGGGATGCAGCACCCGTCCCCCAGGAGAGGCCCTCGTACAACTCCAGCTACAATTCCATCTACAACGACAGGTCAAACCCATAGACTGGTTTCAATCATCAAAGAACTAAAAGAACTTTTAAAAAACAGAGAAGTTTTACAACTGCTGCAAACAATCATGCGTGAGTCCACTCCTGAATAATGTCACTTTTGGACTAAACCTGAACTCTTTTTTTTTGAACTTTAGTTAATATCTCTACTAATATACGAATTAATATTTTTGAATATTGATCACACTAGATGGCGCCACTAAGGCTTAGCAAAATTTATGTAGAATCTTCATGATTTTGAATCCCGATTTTCTGTATATATGATATCATCATTAAGAGAGAAAAGAGGCCTCTTTTCTCTCTTAAATTTGCTTGTTTAATCTCGCTACTTTATTTTAATTTTCTCTCATTAAATGTTACTGAACCCAACTTTCACCATTCAATTGCGCTTCGGCGATTTATTATTCATGCCCACTCAGAGGAATTAGTCAGAGCCCCTCGCGGGGCTGATGCTAATATAACTACAACATATGAGTATTAGTAGTTCGTTGGCTCCCCAGCCATAATGTATAAGCCCATGACGGCTACCAATTCTGCCATTCTGTCAAACATTTCATTTGAAGGAGTCGAGTTTTCCACTTTTCTGCGACAGTACAAGTTGATCAATGTTATTAACCCCTTATTTGACGACGATACTTCGGAGTGCCATTTTTATATTTTCAAGGAAATAAAGGTGGTAACAAAAATTATTACCTCATGAACATTTGCTTTAGTTCAAAAACAAATATATTACCCTTTTTATCCGACCATCATGGAATTAAGTAAAATTTGTAAATAAAGTGTTAAATTCCTACCCTCATCCGCCAAAAGTAGACTCCGCTTCACAATATGTTCACTTACCGATTCTAATTCTTTGGGCAGATTTTCGGTGATAAAAAAATTTATTCTTAAATATTCATTTCGTAGTTTATTTTAGAGGAATGAGACCAATGCCATTTATAATGTAAAAAAAACTACAAAATTTATTTAATACTGCTACTCTTTTTTTAAAACATAAATTTTTACATTATTGTTATTTAAAATTTTGGGTGTTATTGGATTGACCCTTTGACGGAAATAGGACAGCTATTTTTTTTTCTGACGACGATCTAATTAAAAGCAAAAAATACATTTCAGTATTTTTAATTATTAAAAACAGTCTAGTAGTTACTAAAAAATTCCTAATCGGAATTATATCTGTACTAAAAATGTAAATGTGTAAAAATGTAAATTTTTTTTCCATTCATATTGAAAAAATTAACAATAATTGATTTTAAAAATTAAAGAAATATCAATGATAAATAACTTTCTCTTTGAACTAAATAACTGTTATTGCAATTTTGAAGAAAAAAGTTTTTGTTTGGAAGTTAGCAGTGTTTAGAAGATTTTAGCTTTAGCGTAGAAAAAGGCACCTGAGATTCATGCTCTGTTTTATAATGATAAATTATTAAAATTCTAAATATATTATTTTTCACTAACTTTAATCTAAATAAATACAAAATGAAGAAAAAATATGAGAAATATGTTAAATAAAAATCACCCCAAAGGGTAAAGACAATTGCTGTTTTTTATTATCGTGTTGATATCTTTTTGAATACATTTGAAAACTGTTCCAAAAATATGATCACTTAGCAGCAATAGGAACTTGTCCTGGATCTTGGTCAAAATAATTTTGAATCAATGCAAATTAAAAACGTGCATATTTCATACTTGTGTTACTGTTTTTTTTCTTTTTTTAAGAAAAATCTCTTCTTGGTAAATTTAGATTTGCCCCACTTTTTTTACATATAAAAGTAAATAAATAAATAAAAAAACGTGCAAAAAAAATAATTTTACATACTGTTAGAAAACAAAGCTGCTACGTCTTCTTTTGAACATGAGGATGGAAGGCAGGCATTCAAACGTGGTTGAGTAATATAAAGATATTGAGCATAACTTGCTAATCTATCCATCAACTAGAATAGTGAAAGAAAAAAAATAAGAAAGTTTCAATATCTTTTCTCTAAAAATTAAAAAAAGTTCTATATTTAGATTAAAAGGAAAAACTTTTTTATTAATACAAGTTTACGGGACGAGGGCTTAAAATTATTACAAGCAGGATATTCCATTTATCAATCAATAGTTAAAATATTCACATTCTGCGAATATAATATAAAGTCAAACGATCCGAACCATATGTATTTTTATATTCTTCTTTCTCAGCGGAAGAAAACGCATCACCCTTATAACATTTGTTGAATTTTCATTTTGTATAGTGTCATAGCAAAAAGATATATCTTAGGGGCTACATCTTAGAACTGAGGGGGAATATGCTTTTCTTTGACTAAAAAACGCCATTTTTTAAATCAAATTTGGATATATTACCCTCAAAATACGAGGGTGACGATGTTTTGAAAAACTGGTTTTTATAGTTTAAACGCTAAAACGGCAGGAATTTTTGTTACTCTAACGTTATACTAATTTGTCACATTTGCCCTTCATAGTTTTTGATTGATTTCTTAATTTATAATGTTTGTTTTTGTAAAAAGTAATAATCTCTATGTTCGAAGAAAAAAATTTAATATATTTTTTTCAATACAATTATTTGAAAGCACAATTTAATTTTCATTTTGTGTCTCATTAAACATAATCATTTCATGCTTTCCAGTTTTTCCTAAAGGTATGAAACTTACACCAGCTTTTTCTTTGGAATATAAAGTCGAGCTTGTATCATTGGAAATTTTGGGTTGAATTTGATACTCCGGTTGAATAGCTAAACCACTCGCAATTTTCCTTTTTCAAGCATCAATGAAGTTATCATTCAATTCATAAAGAAATAAGATTCAATCCTTGCAGTTATTTAAAATGGCTTGCTTTTATCCTTCCATTTTTTTCATCAAAAGGGTGGTTTGGGACAAGATCTCTAAGAAATATGATGAGATCAACATCTTGTTCAACAATAACTGCTTGCCTGTTATTGTTGTTATCATGATTGTGTTTCTAATACCAAAATGACTGCATATAACTGAGAAAAATAAATAATGTTTGAAAGAAAAATACTCAGAGTCATCTTCAGAGCGGTTAAAGGAAACAGTGTTTGAAAGATTCAATACAATTATGAATTAGGCTGAAAATTCGAGCAACCAAACATAATTTCAGCTATTAAATCCTATAGATTAAGAAGACTGTATCACATCCATAGAAGGGATGATGGTGATTCAGTTAAAAAGCTGACTTTTGGAAAGTTTACAAGCAACCGAAAAAGGAGATGGCCAATCACCAGATGGATTGGTTCTGTATAAAAAGATCTCAAAACCATGGGAAACAATAAATGGAGAATCGTAGTACCTGATCGAACCATCGTTCTTTTGAGTGCCACAAGGACATAA